GGGGGGGGGGCAGCAGAGGCTTGTTTGGATTTAAAGTGATAAGAGGCCATAAAACTGCTAATTCTGAAAAGAGCTCAAAATAGATAGACCAGTTCTATCTGAAATCTCATTATTGAGGAATTAGTTTGTGCAAAAAATGTCACGAACATGTTTTTGTAGACCCTGATTTGTTCAAGGAAACATAATGGATCAGAATTAAATGTTTTCTGTGGCTACAAGTTGTCAAAGTTGAGGTCTACCGCTCAGACTGAGGTTGTGGTTGTGGCTCGCTGGCTGTGTTTGCAGCTGCTGACTAGATGTGAAACCAACTGGGTCAGACGATGTGTGGACCGGTCCTCCCCCTGTGCCTGTTGCTGTGGATCCTAAGAGCAACACAAGGTATGTTTCACCTCCAGGAGGGTTTTTACACAGACTGCTGCTGGTTTTATGAGAACATCAAAACATAAAGTTTCACTCACAGTGCAGCACGCAGCAGTTTTCTGTGCAAATGCTTTATATATGTTTCCTTCTAGGTTTACCTCTGGTGCTCTCCAAATTTTTCTTTGGCTGTTTTAGGGCTGCAGCTAACGATTATTTCAGTTAAAGATGAATCTATCAATTATTTTTGACAATTTATTGATTAATCAGCTAAAAAAAATTGGCACATTTTGCTGATTTTTCAGTTAAGTGTTTTTTTATACCATCTGACATGTTATAAAAACTAAAAGATGCAAATAGACTAATATTTGAATTCCTTTTATTAAAGCGGTCTAAATTGCAATAATGGCAATTCTTTCAGTGAACGCTTGATCATTTGTAGCAAAGGATGCATTTGCAACAAAAAAATACTTTATCGCTGCTAAAGTATCTGTGAAAAGTTCAGCTCTTTAAATCAGTGTAGAGCTGATCTGGGATTATTTTTGGATTAACTTGGATATCAAAATGTGCTAAAATTCCAGATCTTTTTTGTAGAATTTGAACCAGGTGAAGCTAAAATTTTACCACCAGAGGACCTTTCAACATAGATTAACAATCTCTATGTCTCACATTTGATCTTAAAAGAAAATGGAATCAAGGAAAGTTAGAACAAAAAGACAAAAAAAAGAGCTGTATGTTCCATTTGGATAATATTTGATATTTTGTGTAAATGATAAAGTAAAGAAAAATAAAGAAAATCTCCAAATCTGATCAATCTCAGGTTCATCGTTTGACGTTGGGAGCAAATTTAGATCCAAATGATCAAATGTCATTTTAAAATTAGAGAAGAACTTCAAAAGACCTTCAGAAATCCTTGACAGCTTTTAATCACTTAGATTACAAGTACTATTTGGATGGAAAATAAGGAAGGGTTAGGTTGCAGTTTCACTTTTTTTAATCCAAATTTCTAATATAAGTACATTTCTAATTCATTGCATCTATGTAGCAGCCTCGTAAACCTCTGTTTCTTGACATCCAGACATTTTCTCACAGCTTCTGCCTCTCTGCGTGTCTGACAGCTGCTAAGATCACAGCTTCCGCCAATCTGAAGGCAGAGGTGGGTGATCCCGCCCACCTTCACTGCAACATCACCATCGAGAAGGGGGAAACCTTGCACCAGGTGCGCTGGCACGACCCTCACTCCAACATGATCCTGGCGTATACGACGCGCCCGGCGATCCATGTCGTCCACCAGGACGCCAACCTGAAGGTGACGGTGGCGCGCACGGAGTCCAGCTACATCACCATCAAGAAGGTGCGGCCGGACGACGAGGGCTGCTTCCACTGCTTTTTCGACGTGTACCCCTCTGGGAAGCAGCAAGGCACCATCTGTATCACCATCACCGGTGGGTGCAGGGAAGACCTCCGCTTCTCTTCCACTTCTCACATGCTTTTAATGTACTTTGTTTTTCAACTCTCGTTATCTCAGGGATAATGTCGGGCCATGTAACTTTTTTGATTAGAGTCATTGGGTTTGTTTTGCTCAGGAAGCTGTAGGATCAGTTTTAAACTCCCAGATCAGCAGAAGTAAAAGCCCACCCACACAGATAACCGCATGCAAATGTGCTGCTGCTAATTGGCAATTCCTAAATGGAAAACCTGCACACTGCTTTTCTTCTTTACAACAGGAGGTAGAGTCCAGCTGGAGGGGAACAGGACGGCCATACGCAGGCTGCCGGTCACCCTGTCCTGCTCGTACCCCCTCGTCAAACGGGTCGGCCAGGCTCTGTGGAGGAAGACGACCGAGCAGGGCGACACCACCACGGTCGCCTCGTACGCCAAGATTGGCTCTTACATGGGGGAGCAGTTCAATGGCCGGGTCAGGCTGAGCCCCACGCTGGGGGAGACCAGGCTGACCATCGAGGAGGTCCAAACGGAGGATGAGGCATGCTACACCTGCGAGTTCCACACCTACCCGGACGGAACCAGGAAGGCCGTCGCCTGCCTCCACGTCTACGGTGAGACTTGCGCGGTTTTCAGGCTTTCAGAAGAAGCGCAAATTTATTTTTCTGCTGAAAGTTTGGATTTTCTTAGAAAGCATCAGCTTTCAGAAAGCACTTACTGCGGCTCATAAAAAGGCAGAAATGATAAAGACACTCAGGAATGTATAGTAAATGTTTGATTTAGATTTCTGAAAGGTAAAAACTTGAATTAAAGTTATGCAAACATTTAGTTGAAATATTGGCCTTATATTGAATTTCAACACGATTTAAGCAACTTTTGTAGGAATGCTGGAGCAACATCTTCACTTCCTTTGAACTTCTAACATTTTGTGAAGTTAAAATAAAAAAACTGTGATGCCTTTTGTAGGAAATGACAAGCAAATGTTGAAAAAAAATCATTTAATAGTAAATTAGAACAGTCCACCTGTGCGTAATTGTAGAAGAAGGTGCTCTGGTAAGACGCATCTGCAACGCATTAATTCAAGTGAATGCAGGTCTTTACTGGTGAAACATGTTGAACCGAGTAGCTCTGTAATTTTTTACTCACTATTGTGCTCCTTCTGTTGATCCGTCACATAAAATCCCAGTAAGGTTTACGGTCGTGGAAAAGTTCAAGTTGCTCGAACACTTTTACAAATTGCTGCGTCTCAGATTTTTTTATGTCACGTTGGCTCAATAAAATCTGAGCCTTGTTAGTGTTATCTGCAGATCTGGCATCTGTTGCCCTCTCTGATAGTTAAAGTAATTATTACTAAATGAGAACAAGCTTCAGTTTGCTCTTTAAATGGTGTGTAAATCTATTAAGAAATAAACCCTATCAAGAGTAACTGTGGCCTGGGAGGCAAGAGAAGCGTTGTTGTGAAAGCTCATTGAGCAGTCTGCAAAAAAACACAAGTCAGAAATGTTTGAAAGCAGAAAATCAGCACATTTTTCCCTTCATATTTCTGCATCTTAATGTAAAACAAACTGCAGGAATGAGATGAATTCTGCTGGAAACTTCCTCCAACACCACTAACTTGTTAACCTGCTCCCTCCATACCCCTTTAAAATCACGCTCTTTGTGCGATATTCAAGTTTTTTCTGTCCCCATGAGGGCCACACGCACACTATACGCTCAGAACAAATCTGTGAACAACTCAGGAAAAGGAAGTTCTCAGCATAAACACACTGAGGTCGGTCATTAAACTACTGTTCTGAACTGCCTTGGAGATGGATTTCACTTTTCCAACGCAGCACTTTGACCTCCTCCTCTTTTTATTTCCCATGAGTGTAATCGAGTTCAGACGTCAGTGGCAAGACTTCCAGGGGCGTGAGGAGCTGCTCACTTTCCCCTGGGAGGTTGTTTTTATGGTGAAAAGGAAGGAAGGAAGGAAGGAAGGAAGGGAGAGGAAGGTGTCACAGAGGGTGAAAGGAGTGAGTAATTTGGAAAGCAACCCACGAGGGATGAGTGGCTCACTGTGCCTCTCCAAACAAAGCCTCTGTGTTGGTGTGTGTTTGTCCTGCTTTGCTCCAGACGCACAAACAGTCACTAAAAGCCGCTACACTAACATTTGTCTCCGTTTTGCAGACCCTCCAGACAATTCCATGTTGTCTTTGTCTGGAGGGATTGATGCTGATATTCTGTCTCTCTCTGCATCACAACACATCACATAAAAATCTAGTTAGAATCAAGTTACAGAGCTGTAAAAATGAACCCTCTGACGTGCTCTCCCATTTCTACCCCCAGTTTTACCCAAGCCGGAGGTGACCTACTTGACGTCGCCCTCGGGAGTCACGGAGGCAAACTGCACCGCCCAGTCGAGGCCTCCATCCACCATCCTGTGGGACACTACCGTCAATTCTGTCACCCTGGGTCCACCCGTGATGTCGGTGAACAGTCAGGGCGACGGCACCACGACAGTGACGAGCACGCTGCGCTTCAGGTCCGCGCTCAGGACCGTGAAATGCGTCGTGCAGCACCAGGGTTTGGAGAAAGCCCTCACGCTGGTCCTCAAAGCAGACGGTGAGCAGTTTATGCGGCGATGCATGTTTGTTGGTCCCAGACATGACTGTCGCCGCTTCCCGATCTGTGGCTCCGAGGTGCAGAGATTAGAGGTTTTCTATTTTAGTCGGGGTGTAATTATGGATACTTTGGTGGTGGGATCCTGCATCCCGTAACGTCTCAGGAAGGTTTATTTTCTCAAACCGCATGACTTTGACATGTTTAGTCCAGACATCATCCAGCGCCTTGAAAATGAAAAAGTATTCACCCCCCTTTGACTTTTTCACATCCCCTCTCTTAAGAACCAAAACTTCAGATTTATTTTTGAACAAAAATAAGTGCACCAGCAGCAAGTTATATTCAAACTAATGTAAGAAAGAATAAGAAACTTTATAGTAAGTAAGAAAATAAAAGTATTTTGATGTGCTATTTCAATTGAAATAGCACATTCAGCTCAAAGAAAATGTGCAGTGGAGTAGGATCATTTTTAAAAAATGTACAAAATGTGTATTTATCCATGAAAAACTGCTGATTTACTAGAAATAAAATGACAGCAGAGATGTTAACACTGTTTTTTTGATTGAGATTCTAAGTTTTATTGTTGCCGGGAGGAAGGATCTGCGATAACGCTCATTTGTGTACCCAGAATGCAGCATTTTATTGGGATTTTCTACAATACACCAATACAGAATCGGAAAGCTGTACACCACTCTTAACATTTTTTTCACAAATTTACATCAGAACAATGTGCTTCATTTCTATGTTTCCCACTTAGTCAATACTTTGTAGAACCGCCATCTTGCTTCAGTTGCAGCTGCAGGTCTTTTGCTTATCTATCTAAATGATCATTTTTCTACCCATTCTTTTTTACAAAACTGCTTAAAATATGTTTTTTTTTTCCTCAGGTCTCTCAGATGATGAGATTTTGACTGATGTAGTGAGTTCACCCAACGTTGTCCTCATCTCTGTGTGTGTGGCTGCAACTGTCGTCATCCTGGGTCTGTGTGTGTTTTTCTGCAAGCGCTTCGTATGTATTAACGGTAAGTCTGAAGTCCGCTCCACCACATTTCCTTCTGTCAACACTTCAGAGAGCCTCTGTTTGTGGCAGCGGGATGGCACAGGCTCGTTTCCCAGAAAGTGAAGCTGGTAATCAAAAGTTAATTAGAAGTTCGTCTCCCAGCTTATGTGAAAGGGAATTTTTGTCATAGTGAGAGCCGGTTTCAGTTTTTCTGCAGCTGGGGAGAAGAAATGTGGGTCTAAAAATAAAAAAGTTGGAGCGATTCCCTCGTGGTCCGCCAGACGTTTGTTCTGGGAAGCTCTCACAGGTGTTTCAGTAACTTTAGAAAACCAGTTAAAATGTGAAGTGAAGCATTTTTAAACACATTCACACATTTTTTTTCAGCCACAAGTATTTCTGGGTGTATGCCGTTGGGGAGGAAACGCTCAGCAGATATCCAGAGCATTGTTTCTCTTGCGGCCTGCTGCGGAGGCCAAGTTTTGAGTGGCTGTCATTGTGTGCAGCTGTGATGAAGCGTTCCCATGTCTGCTGGTTGCATAAGCAGAAAACAGTCGGGTGTTTTATGGGCCTGAAGGATTACAGTAGCCCAATCAGGGTTCGTCTCATTAGACCCATTTATCTGTAAGTCACTGTTTTAGTTTGATATGGTTTATTTTAATAATGAACAACATCTTTGAGGTCGGACCAAGTTTTAAAGCCACAGATGTTTTGGCAGGGATTAGATTCCTTATTTCCTCTAAACATAAAAGCGACCTTCACCTCTGACTAGTTCAAAGCATTCCAGTGCAGTTTGGAAAAGGAAAAGATCAAGTAAAAATATGTATTTTCAGACCAGATTCTGCATCTCATCCTGGCCTTTGACTGCTCATTTACATCCATCTAAAAGTTGTCTTTCTTTCCTCCTTCTTGTCTTGTTTATCTTCCTTTGTTTTCCTACCTCCTTTCATTGGAACATTTTTTATTTTTGTTAGATCCACAAACCCTTGAACAATCCCCTCTGAAAGCTGTTAGAATTGCTTATTTTGATAGTTAAATTTAAAATATAAGTTCTTGTCTTTTCAGCCAAGGATCATGAGTTGTTGTCTTTTAAAGCTTGGCGGTTTGATGGTATCTAAATTGTGCTGAATTTGTTGGAAAAAAAAACCAGTTTGGCACAAATATTGTACCATGAAATTATAAAGAAACATTAACAGGGGACAGAAGGTCACTTTGCAGCTATCTCCCACCTTCACATGTCAGCGTCACTCCTTTCACTGGCAGCAACACCTTTTTCCTCTTGGTTTGTTAAACTGCGTGGTGCCAGGCTAATGTCGCCCTTGAACCGGTTCTCTTACCATAAATCCTCCCGCGCACAGGGAGGGAAAAACAAAGTAGGAACCAGAGCGTTGAAAGAAAAATAAAGTGACAAGGTCTTTCTTATTATTCTTGGTCGAATAATAAACGAAGGCGTTGATCAAGGTTTGTTTTTTACATCGCTGATTACTCATATCAGGAGAAAGAAGGCAGGACTTACTGAAAATTCTGACTTTTTTAAAAGGTGGGACTGCTACTGTGAAAAGCCATTGCTTTCATTCTTCCTAATCATGTTATTCATAACTTTCTCCACTGAGTTACAGATAAGTGTCTGCAGACACAATCGTATCTGACGTGCATTTTCCCCCCCCCCACGTATGATTTGTTGAGTTGAAACGATCTGAAATGAAAATATTTTTACTCAACTCTTTCCACATAAATTGACATTTTCCTATTGACTCAACTACGCCTGCTCTGAGCAGAATGACAAGTGGTTGCGCTGATTGTCTGAAGCTAACGGCCTGAAGAAAAGGACCTCTTTCAGTCTACAGGGGGCTTGGATTAAAGGACCACTGACATGCCTGTAGTTGAAAGCATGCCCAGTCTGACAACAAGGCGTCCTCTCAGCTTGGACGGGAAAAGACGCAGCATCGTCTGTGTTTCTCAGTCCTCGTCTCGGCTGAAACATGCCGGACAAGAACACGGTCTGTTACTGTGATGTGATTCAGATGGTTGTTCTGGGGAAATGACAGCTCCTGCCTGTATCTGAAGTGAGCTATAAATGCATGGTCACATTCTTTACGACTTTCGTTTTTACGTCACACACCAAGTGAGGACTTGTGGAGATCATTTCATAATTTGCCTTTCATGGAATGTATTTATGAATGAAACTTCAGGAGTGTTTTTCTTGAGAATGGGATATAATGTAGTCCAAACCCTTTTTTTTAAATTTTGCTTAATTTTAATAGTTCATTCCTTTTTACATCTCCCGCTTTCTTGGTTACAATCTTTTTTCCCTCTGTACTTTTTTATGGCATTTTTCTATTGTATCATACTTTTTTTTTGTAAGTTTCTTCGCCTCCTTGGTTCTCTCCTTTATCCCCTCTGTCCTTGTCTCCTTTTGCCAACACACACTTCCTTGCGGCCTTGCTCCCATGCCTTTTATGTCCTTGCACCAACGCCTCCTACTATGCGTCCTTGCACCACTACGTCCTTCTTTGCCTTCCTTGTCTCCTTCAGTCAGTACCTCCCCTCAGTGCATTTCTGGATCTACACTCAACCAAACCAAAGGAGCATGGGAAGAAAAACTGCACATTCAACTAGTCTCAAATTCAGAACTTCTTAAAAACACTGATTGATCCTTCTTTGTACTAAAGGCCACAGGCTAACGGTGCAGGAGGTATTGTCTTGACAGCCGTTAGGTCCTCTTATTCCAACTGAGCATCATTTAAGTCATAAATCTTCTCCTGATTTATGTAGCAGGATGTGAGTGTGTCACAAAGCTCAAACCACATCAGTCGTGGTTTCTTGAGAATGACGAGTTCATTGGCCTCTACAGACTCCAGATCCCAACCCAACAAAGCTCTTGTGTGACAAGAGACTTGAACGATACAAGTTGACAAATTGCAGTATCTGCATAGTGATCACTCCATAGGTGCCAACATCTTTGTGAAGAATGTGTCTGACACCATGTTGAGTCCATGTCACAATGAATTAAAGGAGTTGTGAAGGGAACAGGATGTTGAATTTGGTTCTAAAAAGGTGTTTTTAATCAAGTAACTGATGGCTTTTGTTATTTTTGGTATTTATTCACTTTATTTTTTTGAAATTCCGACTGACGCGTGTCGGTTTTTGTCACGGCGGTTTAATTTAACGTAGCGAAACACAGGTAAAGCAGTCACAGCTGGCTTGGCGGGTATTTCTGGTTTGGATCTGGTTTTCTTCCACATGGAGAAAGAAATCCACACTTCCTTGCTGCATTTTCTAAGTATGAATCTCTTCACATGTTGCAGCAGTCTGAAGTAAAACAGCATGTTAAAACCTCTGAGCTGCAGAGAAACCCACGGTGGACCTTTTTATAGAGCTGTGATGTCTGCGGGTGAGGTCGAACCACAGACAAGCCTCAGACCAGCCTCTGATTCTGGGTATTACTTAGTCCTGAGCTTGTTCCAGTAAAAACCTGCTGGATCTATTTGTGACCATGTTTCCCTAATTCTTGGTGTGCCCCGCCACAGAAAAAGGAAGTTGACCTTGGACAAGGATGGCAAGATTTTACACAAAAAGCTTATCTACTGCTGCAGAGGGAGTGGTGCCACATCCTGCTTGGATCTCAAAATAAAAATAAAAATTCCTCTGCCCTTGAATCAGGAGAGCAGCTTCTCTGAGATTAGATGAAGGGAAACATCCTGACATGCCGATGGCGACACCTGCTGGTGAGGTCATTGAAGTGCATTGATTCAGTTTTTACAAGGTAATCTGTTTGCTCTTAATGAGCTTTAAAATTATGCTGATTCACTTCAGGACGCTGACTCAGGAGGTGTTGCAGCCATTTCTTTGTGACTCAGGAACATGATCAGTGTGAAATTCTGCCTCCTTTAGATGCTTGTGGGTGTTGGATGTGTCCAAACACGATTCTTCCTGTTGCACTCATGAGGAGGAGTTGAAGGAAATAAATGCAACCTTTTGCTTTGACTCTGTGGCACATTTATATCAGGAACTTTAATCACCACCCTGTTGTGCTGCGTCTTTAAAATTAGATCAGAAACTCCTCATTTCGGATGATTTACTATGACAACACTGAGTGATGAACAAAGGAGTTACAACAAATTTAGCTCCCTGCTGCTCTGTAATCACTATGTCAGATTGCACAACACTGGTTCAAAGTTAAATCCACCAACAATGATTTCATGGACGCCATAAAATTCCACGAACTGTCAAAGGAAGCTGTTGTGGCCGACATATTTCTTCTGAGTCATAGGATTCTGTGGTTTGTGGTAAAATAATCAACCCACTGTGTGTGTATTTACTGTTTTACTGTTACATCCAAGTGTAAAGTATTTATTTAACGTGTGGTTTTTACTTTAAAGCTATCTCACATATCAGATAGAGAGAAAATTGTTTTGGTTTATGTAGCACAGTAAACATAGCAGTTGCATCCATTTTTAATTGACCAGAGGGTTTTACATAGACGGGTGTGAAGCAATGAAAGCATTCAAACTCAATAAGTACCTTGAAAATTAAAATAGCTCAAAAGAGTTGATGACCTGCTACTAAAATTAAAGGCAAGTGATACAAACTGGTTTTAAACAGGCAAAGGAAGTTTGTTTCATAGTTGATGACCACAACCCCAAAAAAGACTTTTAAAGTCTGGCAGCTTCATTTTTCCTCGATTCCAAGTCAAATATCAAGTCTTTGAGAACCAATGCTGTCCACTCTGTTGCCAACTGCTGCACTGAATTTTGAAGAGTATTTGGAAACCATGTTCTAAATCTTCATGTAGATCCCTTAAACCTAAATTGAAATGCTCTCCGAGGTGCATTGTGAAATAAAACTCAGAATGAGGCGCGGCCTGGTGAGTAAAGAGGAGAGAATGTTGATTAGGAAGGAACAGGAAGGGCTTTTACTTTGATAAACACAGCTCTGTTTGAGTTAACCAACATAAGAGAGAGAAAATATTTGAGGTAAGATTATTTTGTTTGAAGTTCGCCGGACAGCTGTGGCTAAAGCGTATAGTAGCAGCCTTACAACTGGAAGGTTGTAGATTTGATTCCTCCTGTCACATGTTATCTCTACTGCGGATTACATGATTCATATTGGTGTTACTCAGATTATGAGTTTAAGTCCGATCTGAAAATTGAGTCATCACAATTGGAGTAATAACTAGTGTGTGGATCTCAGGGTTGTAGTTGGAGATTGTCAAGCATTTTGCAGGTTTTCACCACATCTCTAACAATTCCTTTTGTGCCGCAGTTCGACTTGGTTATTAGGGTTTTCCACTAGCAACAGGAATGTGGTACCAATTTTTTTTTTTTTTAAGTCTTCTAACCGTGTGTAGATTCCATGGGTTTCTGTTCCGGCTCAGGAGTTTTTTTTTTTTTTTTTTTGTATTTATCTTAGCAAGGCCTGAACAAATGCACAACTGTTTACAGATACTCACATAGGCACATATAACCTTTCTCAGCAAACCATGGAAAGAAAACTGTTAAAGGTGCTTTTTCATGAAAATGAGAATGAGATTGGACTGAAGACGAAGCTTTGAGGTCCACCAGAATTAATAGGGAACTTGTTGGACTACTTCTCGGAACCTCGGAGCTTGCAGGTATGAATGAAACTATTTAAGAACTCTACATTTAATATCAAAATATTATTTCAGAAGTGGGAGCAGGATGTTGTGGTTCACTGTGCCGTAAGAGGTCGTCGCATACAGTAACACAGGATGACCCTTATCAGAGGTTACAGAAGGCTGTTTCTGTGTAGTGCTGGGCTTCAAAGCCAGACTGACAGTTTTCACAAATACCACTTTGACTGGAACCAATCAGTCACAGAAAAGTAAAATGTTAGTTATTTTACAGAAGGCCTGAAGAGGGAGGTCGCCAAGCTTTAAATGGACCGTAGGAGTGAGACGCAGCATGCCTGTTTGTCTCCTTTTGTTTCCGTGTAACCATGGGAGACAAAGCTTACATATGCTGTAAACTGTTTACTGCAGTACATGATAATCTTGGGTCTAATCATTTTAAATGTGCATGAATCTGAAAATCAGAGAATCCAGCTGAAATAATCAAATTTTAAAAGTGTGCGTTGACCACTGCTTATCCCGTGCTGAACATCTCTGGCCCCCTGCTGAGGTCCCAGCCTGACCAGACCTCCAGTCTGATGAGGTGCTTAACAAACCAACCCAATCATAGGCTGAGGAGGATTTTGTTGTGGCAAGATTTATTTATTTATTTTTTTAAAAAATCTTTATTTTCTGTTTCTGTCCAGACTGATTCGGCATCTGGCATCGCCGCCGTTATGCTTCAGTGGATTTCTGAGCCCGACCCAGCTGCTCAGCACCGTGCAGAGGGAGCTGCTTGTTCTGCTCCGACCAACCGGAAATGTACTGCCGGAGCAGACAAGAGCACTTCTACTGAAAGGATTATTTAATGCTACAAATGAGACGAAACTGCTGAGAAGTCGACCTTCGGTGGCCTGACAACCTTTTTACGATTTGGTTTCAGGTCATGTCGTTCCTCTTTGTCCTTTGACAAACACCCTCTGCAGCTATAAAGTGCCACACATCCAAGTCAAAACTGACGGTCTTGAATGTGATTTTTACTTCTAATGCTCTGAAATTTGTTTAACCTGTTAGTTGCACCATAAACTAGCGACGCCACTGCCCTAGTTCTTTAACAGCCCTGATTGGTTCATCCAGCGCACAGAAAAATGTTGGAAGAAAAACAGAAATATCCAACTCTGTTCTAACTTTAGCCTTGTTTCATGTTCTGACTGGATAAATATACCCTAGCTCTACTTCTGGCCATTGTCCCTCAAGCCTGGTGGCTTTTGGGACGCCAACACCACCACCGAAATGCATCTATTAGTGGCTCCTGGAGACGTACGCTGATTAGAGGAGGGCCAGTTCTGGACCTGCGAGTAACTGGAAACCCAAATGCATCCAAAGGTCTGAGGCAGGATGTGACTTTTTGTTGAACCAGGCCTTTGTGAGTCATTTTGAGCGCGGAGAGGACGGCAGCAGCTCTGTCGGTTTTCAACTCCTACATGTGGGACCAGGGGAGGGAGGGACGGGTTGTCGAGATGTAATCTGTGTGTTTCTGGGGTTAATGCCGCCCAAACGCCTCCCGAGCAGATGAACCTGTGAATCACTGTTTGTGTGTACAAGTGTGAGACAGACAGAGGGCGGATCTGTTTCCACGTGCGCGCTTGTTTTTAAAGGAAGTGTCTGTGTTTCTGTTTTGTATGTGTCTGTGAGTCACTGAGCTGAACTGCAGGGAGCAGCGTCGACATTTATGAAGTGTATATTAATCAGATTAAAGCAATAACTTTTGTAGATGTTCTGAGAAAAATAAATGTTCTCTTATTTTTTTTATTTTTTTTTTATAATTTTTATACAATGACACTTATATAGTTCTAAACATTGTGATTGTGGATGAGCTTTAAAGAATTAAAGCACTGTTGTGCAGCTGGTTTGTTACCTTTTAGTGTCTGTTACTTTTTTTTTTAAACATTGCAAATTATTGTGATTTATCTTCAGAAGTTTCCCTAATTGACTCAGAATGTTTTGTCCAAAATGTCCAACGCTCCTCTGGATCCGTTTAATTTAGCCACTTTCAGCAGATTAATTCCTTGTAGCTTTATCGTAGTTTTCGTCACATTTCTTTCTCCCCAAACAAGCGGTGAGAGTAAAATTAAAACTCCTACAGAATGAAAGTTATTAACATTTTGGTCTAATTTTAGTGGCGTGGGTTGGAAAACCACCCAGACTTGATATATGGAAGTAATGCACGTCATGATTCAGATTTTGTTTTTGTTTATTTGGTAGCAAAAAATAAATCATAGTACAAATTTCAAATTGCATATATTAATTTGTATCAGCGTATTATAAAATCTAACTTTAACTCAGCTTCAAGTTAAATAATTTACTTGGTTATAAAGAAATGTCCCCGACAAAGCATTTCTCTGTGACTTGATATGTACAGAAACTAACATGACTAAAACTAAACTTCTTAGTCAAAAGACTTGCAATGAATAAAATTTTGCTGTGAAAAGTAACTGTATTTTTTCAAGATTTTTCTCGATTTTGAGTCTTTGGATGACGTAGAGGAGAGCCTTTACTATTTCTGATAAATCTTAATATCATCTGCAAACATTTGTGGAATCCATCTCTGACTTTATTTATCTATTGTGGCTTTAGGATTGGGCGATATGGACTTAAAGTTCTATCAGGTACTACTCTGATAACGACAAAAATGACAAGAACTATTGGTTCTGTTTTAGGTAACTGTGTGGCTCTAGCCACGCTTCCGTTACAGACGTGCGTAAAACTGTGTCGATATAGGGTTAGGGTTAAAACACAATTTTTCAATTTCGCTGTTTCCATTGAATAAAATCACACGTGAATACGTTTGTTCACTTGGAAAGTCATTATAAAGCATTCTGTGTCGTGATCCCCCAACTGCTTCCTGTCTTCTTCTTCATGGTTTGCACCAATGCAATATGGCTTATTACTGCATGAAACAGGAATGCCTTACAAAAACAATCATTTGTAATTTTTTAGGACACCAGTCACAAAAATGTGATTTGGAACATTGAGCTGCACACAGGAACAGTTTTCCTGTCAAATGTTTGTTTTTCAATCCATATCAATGGCAAATATTTAATTCTGTGAATATTTTACTTTCTGCAACTATAAAGTACTGAACTTTCCAAATGCCTCACATTCAATGAAATCTTGTTTTTATGTGAAACTTTTTCAAATTTGGAAAAAGGGCAGGATCTTTCATCTTTCTGAGAATGATTTGTTTTATTGTCCAGAAGTCCAAAAAGTTTAACCATCAAACGTGCTCACATGGAGATTTCTCTTTAGTCTTATGAAAAGTAAGAAATCTGGCTGATGTAAACATTTCTTGGAGAATGTGAGCGGTTTGCTCGACTGGGGGGGGGGAACTGACACGGGAGGAATCGTTTTCACCCACAGCCCACTGGTATTCACTTTCGAATCCTCTGAAAGTCATAAGGTTATTATACCCTCAAATGAATTAAAAACATTCCCTCTTACAAATGCAAATATTTTCCTTTAAATAGCTAAAAAGGGGCAATTTTTACTCCTTCTATTAGGGGTATACGTGGAAATTGAATGAGTCACACGTGAGTCATGTTCAGTATGACACCTGCGATGTAGATACCACACTGGAAAATTTAACCCATTGGTAATTTATTTCTGACAGGATACAATGTTCGATATTTTCCTTCTTATTTAATGCTGCGAATAAAATTGAGTTCTCTATTTAAACGTTAATTGTCAAAAAAATAAGACAATTAATTGTTTTTGTCAATAAGAACACCGATTATGAACTTTACCAAATAATTCCTGCAGTTTATACTTTCGGAAACATACATGTTTTAAGTATTTTTCAGCTTTTAGTTCGAGTAATTATTTTTTAACACGTTTTTTTGGGGGGGTGAGGAGGGGGTTCGTTCCAAATGTCTCACAAAGACCAGAGAAGGGCGCAATTGTTCTTTCGTTGATAAACTGACATCTGTCATGTTCAAAGCAATAGCTTGTAGAAATTATTTTAGTTTCACTCACTTTCCTCTCTATGTAAGAGGCTTATTTCCCTATTTATAAACTCGTCAGGCTGTTAAATGGTAGTTTATCATGAACTCGATCAGTCATTACTTTCCTTAGAAGTGGAACATTGAGATTGGTAATCATAACGTGTATAGTACATATTCTGTGGAAGTTGATGACTGTCTATCACAGTGTTCAGAAAATGACTTACTTTTTAAAAAATATTAAATAGAGAAGAGGAAGCAGGCAAAGAAGAGCGGAATAGAAACCAGAAAATATGGGAAAGAAAACAGAAATCGAAATCATCAAAGAAACTCCAAAATGGCTGAACGAAGAAGGCCTGCAGATACCTGTGACATCTGCAATGATTAGAAGACAAACTATTGGGAATGTGGATGTTTCTCATATTATATCTGGCCTAAATATGGATTTATTACAATGCGTCAAAAAAAACATAATGTCATGTTGCTTTACGCTGGAGGAAATGATCTTGAAATGTTTGTTTTAGAAAGAAAATGAGCCTAAAAAAAAACAGCATCTTGTTTCCAAACCAACAGGATTGACATTATGGAGTGACCTGCCCACGTTTATGACCTTTGACCTAATGGAAAACTTGTGCTCTCCCATATAACATGCTGTTTCTGAGGCGAAACCAAGAAACTTAAAGGAATTGTGGAATAGAGCCCAATCATCCCAAATGTTCGAGGAAATTTTTGCAAATTTATTTATTTACATTTTCCCCTCATTTTTCTGCAGAGTGGAAACATTTTCTCCTATTATTATTTTTTTGTTACCAAACCCCTTAGTTTTAGGCTAACTCACCACTAGGTGGCAGCACTGTTTGCTTTGCCGTTTAACAGGATCTCATCAGGTTTTTCTTCATTAATTTTAAGACGTGCTTCTTCCCCCCGCCCCCCAGTCCCCGGCCCGCCCACCTCCAGCCTTTAAGTAACAGAGGAAATGACATTAAAGATTTGTATTAACCCTCCTTGTTTTTGCCGTTTTAACAGCAGCCTGCGTCTGTGACACGGTGGTTGGTGGGTGACTGCAAGCAGGGGTGGGACGTGTTGTGAAAAAAAAAGGGAGCGTGTGACTGCAGCCATGAGTAACGCGGCGCTTCACGTCAACTCTTCGCACTTTCAAAACCGCAGAGGTAACACGTCCCACGGCCCATCCTCCCCTCGGGTTTCACGCGGCCCCTGCAACTGCACATCCAACGTTTCCTATCAATCTCCACCTTTCTTTTTAAAAACCTGTCTTGCTTCTCTAACCTGCAATCGACTCCGCTCTGTGGTTTTGTCACGGCTGCAAAACGTTTCCTGTGATGTTGCTTAATGAAGTAGAAAAAGATATTTTATCTTGCCTTTGCGGCTAAGATCTCAATCAAAGAGTTGCTCTCTTTGATTTATTTATGAATACAAATGTGGTTTTATGGAAAGATTTGGTCATTTTTCTAGAAAAAGCAGTAAGTTCTCAGTTTTATACCAACATCTAATTTATTCATACAATTTACTCTCCTGTTTACTTTTAAATAATACTTTATGGTTTTGCTTTAGTCACATTTTTTCATATAAAATTGTTCTCTGATGATTCTTTGTGGCTGTTTCTGGTTTGGGTGTTTCATGAGACTGCAGATGGTTTCATTCTGACCTGAAAGGTTTTGCTTCCTGGATTCAACCTGGAAAAAAATTGAACATATGATTTACTAGTATTTCAAAGTTTTCTATTTATCTTTTTTTCTCTTGATTGTCACCTAAATGTCAACAGGCTTTAGTTACTCACTTAAACCACTAAACCTGTAAAACCTACTAAGCAACTCTAAACTCGATCAATCAGGAAGCAGAAAGTCAAAAATACATCAGCTGGAGCCTCAACTCACTAAATGGAGCTTTTATTGTCAGATTTTCCTTTCCTGAAAAATGAAACACTTTTTTTTATCATAAAAGTCTCCAGATTTAAAAGTTGCTCATTTAAATAAAGCAATCTAAATGAAAAAGAACAAAATTCATTCAAAATTTTTCATGCAGTCTGCAGATCAAACAAATGTCAAAGTTTGAATTACAGTGATTTGAGAACACAATTTGATCAATTCAATTAAAAAATAACTTACTTATCCCAAATGAAATGAAATATTGCCGTTACTCAGATCATCCTAGTATCTTTAAGAGTTGCTGTGGATTGTGATGCTGTGGGAAGGAAATATCTCCAGTAGCAGTCAGTCTTGCAGCAAGTCTGAAGATGCCTCTGACTGAAGACTGTTGCTGTACGACAGTTTCATGGCTGTCATGACATGCTAACACGGATGGAAGCTTCAACGGGTAAAATCTTTGCAATAATGTACTTTGTTTTCACTTTTTCACTACTTTTGTACATTAAGTACACACAGAAAAGTACATTCACAAGCTAAGATAGGCCACAATGGCAAAACTCATGAGAATAATAATAATTCTCTATAATAATAATTCTCTAACAGCACTGATATTATAAATTAATCTTAAACATTTTCATAGTTTTGATCAGAAGACTGGGAACATGAATCAGCTTCCTTCCTGCTCCTTCCTGCAAAATAGATAAAAAGTTACAATTAGCATGTTTTTGTTAGCTCTTCTGCATTTATGGAATGTATTTTACCCTTTAGATGTTTGTAAATAAACTTTAAAAGCTCCTACCTTTCAACACTATCTGTGACGAAACACTTATAGAAATCACTATGATGAGAAAAGCACCAATTCCAACAAGTCGGTACACATAATGACCACACATGTACTGAGAGTCGTTCCCTGCAAGTTAAGAGGACATTTATGTTAGCATTAGAGCATTTCTGTTTGCCAATTCACTGGTGAAGGATGTTATTATTTTTTTATGGAAAATATAAACCTGGTAACAGTACAAAACAGAAGGAG